AAAAAAAAAAAAAAAAACCACCTCTAAATGTTTATTGTTAAAATAGGTAACAGTCATTTTTCCCTAGTAGACTTCCCAATACCCATTACTTGATTTTACAAGAGTCATATTAAAGTCTTCTTTGACACTTTCTTGTAGTTCCAGTGTAGGGAGGTTGGAGAATAATTATCTAGAATAAAGGGAGTGTACAAAGAGATGGCAGGGAGGACACAGAGGGGAGAAAGGGAGTGGTGGAGAGAGGGAGAGGGGGCTGGGGGAGGGAGAGAGCTCTTTTACAGCTGTATTATAATTCCCGACCTAGAATCTAAAACTCTGTTATCCATTTACACTAGTAAGTATTTCAAACAAATCTGAGATCATTCTCCTCTCACCCAGAAAGGATACTAGGATTTAATTCTTTTCCATATGGTTCTTCTCCATCCATTCTTTGCCATGAACATTCTGCTGGTCATTTCCCAGATGAGTAACGAAGAGCTACCCAGGTACCCTGAGCACCATCCACTTAAGGACTCTGTGAAAAATGGTCCTTCTGCAACGAATGTAAAACAGGAAGAATGACTCCATGTTTTCCAAGAGCCTGCCCCTTCTGTGGTCTCATGATGGAGTGCTGCAAACTTTAGAACTTGAAACCCAAGGAAAGCTTTATCTGTGTTCTGGAAAGTGTATGCAGGAACTCAAGTTACAACGAGACAAAACAACTCCATGAAAATGACACTGTTACAATTATGTCTCAACTGTATGTGGTCACAGTAGGATGGAGCCCAGCAATGGCCCAGGAGTTCACAAGCAGGGACTGCTCAACAGCTTATCATACAGGACATCAGGACAAATACAATGCACAGGCCAAGACCCTCGTTCCGGCTCTCATCTACCCGCAGACACCGCCACTCTAGTGGGCACTCAGATGAGTCCTCCTCTGTCCACTCTCTCTAGATGCCCATGCAGATTCCTAGCCCTCGCTCACTAACTCAGCTTTCAACTACCTTAAGCCTGGTCTGTTTAGGCCCATTTCTCTTCTTCAAAAGGCACAGCCAATATGTGGGGAGGCAGCAGGATGCTAAAGTAATGTACTTATCTATGTTAAAAAAAAAAAAAAAAAGAATAGAAAAAAGAAAACCTCTAAATCTGAAACAGAAATAATAATCTAATCTATCTGCTGAGATGGTCCACCATCACACAAACGAACCATAATGGCCAGCAAAATAGCCTGAGAAAAACTAAAGCTTGCATTGAAAATATTGAATGTTACACTTTGCATGTAATTGTGTGCTAATGAGGAAGTTGCATGAAGGGTGTTTTGAAGTTTGAGACTATAATATACCATATCATCCCATTTCACCCTCCATTCCATCTCTTAAAGGCTGCTTCATATAATGTGCTCACCACAGACGAATACTATGACCACCCTCCTTCACCAGACTGCAGCCAGCATGCTGTGTCACTGACACTCCTGGCTTGTTCAGAGAGATCAGGATCTTAACATTAACAGGACCCTTCTTTCCATCACATTGCCTATTCTTAAAATATACCCATAAATGACTCGGTCAGTACTAAACGTGCATACCTAATATCCATGTATGAACCTGGCTCTTCTGTCCTACTGTCTACATTTCTTGGACATGGTGAGAGGTTCAAGGCCCATGGCTTGCTTTAGTGATGAGACACCACGTAACTATTAATGCACTTGTGAGAAATCTGATGATGAAAAGCCCAATACTATTCACCGCTACTTTCCCAACAAAACCGGAAAAATCCTATAAGGGCAATGAAACAGGGCGCCGCCCGGTTCCACAGATGAAGGGCTTTGACTGAATATCATCACTAAGTTACCTGCACAAAGTATGACGGCAGCAGGACCCCTTTTCACAAAGACTATATAAAAACACAAGAGACAGACTCCTAGTATTTCTGCCAACTCGTCAAATTCCTGCTATTGAAGTCATCTGCTTTTAAAGAAAAGCGAATTCTCTCAGAAGATTAGTAAACACAGCAAGATTTAGAATTAAACTGTTATTCTAATCGATGCTACTTCAGGCAAACTTAGATTGTTTCACACTAACAAGAATTGTCCCCTTCAGTAAAGCAACCTCCATGGCACTTGATTCATTTTTAGTTTTTAAATGAGGAAAATGCATGTTTCTTTTTTTAAAAGGAAAACTCAAACTCTTCCTGGCAGACATCCAAGCTAACGAAAATGCCCTAATTTTCTACTCTCCTTCATGATTCTAACAGTCAAAATTGTCAACTTGCGTTTGCAAATATGCATTACATGACACAAGTTCCAAGAAAAAAAAAAAAACACCACATGGTTATAAAATGCAGGGCAACTGTGGCAGCCCATCTGCCTCTAAAGACGTCTGTCCCCAACCCACAGACAGGAGCCTCGCAGAAGAAACAGCAGTCAGGGGAAGCTTTTAAATCTCAAGAGAAAAAGGTGGCGATGTTCCTATCTTTCTAATTCTCTACCACCACCAAGTATTAGGTAACTACTAATTCGTGCTGCATAATCCTTACCAAGACCCCAACAGCTCTATTAAAATTCATCTGATGAACAAGATGCTCAATGAGAGGCAATTCCAGTGGTCTCATTCACAAGGGGAAACTCAGAGGGGATGCGAATGAATCAAGGAAATGAGAGAGAGAGAGCCCTTCGCTAGGATTCCACCCTAAGGGTGGTCATGCCACTCGCTGTTCACCAATCATCCGACCGAAACGTTTTACCACTTCTTCTCCAACCCTCCCTAGCATATCCTTGTTACTACATGGCACCACCACCTCATAACTGAACAAGGAAGTACACTGCAACTGAGCACCTTTTCTGTTCCTGCTTTCTACTTAATCTTACCTCTCTTCACAGAATCATAAAGCTTTTGTACTTGAAGTGAGAGAGAGTAGACCAAATATTGGAGAAGACAATTCTATTAAGTTTATGACACTGTGTAAGGTGAGCAAACACAATTTAGGATTAACAAATATGTTTTTTCCCTCGACAACCCTGAGGTATGTGTGCACACTTAACAGCCTGACCTGGAAGCAAGCATGGCCCTGGGACACCTGGGAAGTATTCCTATCCTGGAGACAGGGCTGTGAGAACAAGACACAAGGCACCATGATATCCTCCCTTTTGGGACATTTAGTGAACAAGGCACTTTGTATGCATTATATTGTTTATCCCTCATATATCCCAACATATGTCATTATCCCCAAGTTATGAGAAACTGAAGCACTGAGAAGGGTTAATTAGCTCAAGACTGGATTCACACCCAGTCTTTGCCCTGTACCCGGGTGTGGACTTTAAAATAGAAATGACCACAAGAACATCCTATCTAAGCAACTTACAAAGGGACTGCCAATTACACTATTCTGAAACATAAATATTTTAAGTGATTATACTCAAACATGGCAACAAAGTAACCAATAATACTTATTTTCAATGCTTGGCCTTTGCTCTCCTCCTATAAGAAATCGGGAAAAGTCAATGAAAGAACACTCAGAAGGACACCTCTGGATATCTGACAGCAGGTGTGAGCAGATTCAGAGCCCCTAGCTTTCTAAAACTGATAATGGGCTTTTGTTTGTTCCTCCTTTCATCTCATCATAAATTTTCTTTCAACAAACACTGGAGATCAGATTTTTTCTTTCTGTTGAGTTCAATCTGAAACAAAAACTTTAGAGACTTAACTGCCTGAACTTGGCTTCCTGTTTGCTTAACAGCAAAGCCTGCCAAGGCAAATCTCAATAAGCTGGAGACTGACTGCATTTGACCAGTGCCCAGGACGTGCACCACCCCCCTCCCCCGCCCCCAACCACTGCCAAGAGATAAAACATCATGCCTGCCTTCAAGGAACTTATAATTTAGAGGGGTGTGAAAAAACCCACAAGGAACATAACATGGTGACAGAAAAACACTGCATCCTGTAGTAGAAACACTTAGGAAACAGGACGGCGTGAAAACTGCTCTGCTTTGACCAGAAGTAACCTCTCCTATGGGGCAGTAAAGCAGACCCACCACGGAAGCTACAGTGGGCCTTCAAGGACTGCCCTCATGGCCCTGAAGGTAATCAAAGGACAGAATATAGATCCCTTGAGATTTGAGCTGCAAATAATCCTTATCAAATTCCAAAAAGGGACGGGTATGTAGCTATCCACAGTCCTGGAGAAAGGGAGAGAATGCAATGATTCACTCAGGACTAGACGCTGTGTCACAACGCTGCATCACCCCTCTCCAGACATGTAAAGACAAAAGGGGTGTGTCAGACACTGCACCCGACCAGTCTTCCCTGAAATTGCAAGAGGGGCTTCCACCATGATGTGACAGGTGCACCTGTGCCAGGAGGGGCAAAAACCTGGCTGCCTCCATGCCATCCAACTTGGAAGCTTTGTTCCTCAACCTAAATGATCTTTAGTGGTGTTCTGTTGCTTTGGAGATGTAATATTTGCGATATAAGAGGATTATCGTCGGGGGAGAGGTGTCAAGTTGTTCTATTAAAGAAGTGAAGTTCAGTTTCTCACTTTCACCCATGATATGCAGACTTCCAGGCCCCACATCAGACCCAAGCATGAGAATTCTGTAAGTGAAGTACAGGCATCCATGGCTTTTTCATCCAGTGTCTAGTGAGTCTTTTGCATTCTGAGATTTGGAAATTACTTCTCTGAGCTTGT